GTAGGCTTCCCTGGAGAGGGGCGATGCCTGTCCCCGGTGCTGGTTTGTGACTTTTTCTCTGCAGAACTGCCCCTCTTGCATGTAGGATCCGGGATTTCAGCTGAATATTTGAGTGAGAAAATAACTCGAGCGTCCTGGCAAGGCTGGCAGTAATCCCCCAGCTATCATGAGTGGAAACCCACCGTGCTGCTGTCCTGCCGTCCCGTCCCGCAGTGTGCCTGTCGTATGACCAGTGTTGAAAACAAGTGAAAAAGATACTTAAAGCTTTCAGGTGGTAAAGACCACCACTTTTAAGATCCCTCCTCGACAGTATTATATAATGTTATTATTAATATTATTTTTTGTATTGCTGGAGCAGTGCGCAACTTTGAGTCAGAAAGCATCTGGAGGTGATACTATTTCCACGTACAAATTTAGAGATACACTAATAAACAGAAATGTTTTCCTTTTATTTACTTAGAACAGTTTTGGCTTTTTTTTTTTTTCTAGCAGCAGCTTTTTGTAAATGATCTGCAACTGAGTAATTAGTAAAAGGAAATCACCAGAAAATGTAAAATTTGAATCCAGCTTAACTGAGCTAAAGTAATAAAGCCTTAAACTTCTATAAAGCCCTTGAACACACTCCAGTTGTTAATAAAGCAACTACATTAAATTAATATAAACCTTTCTGGAACCTGTTGCTATTTGTAACATGTCCAGGCTCAGTTCAGTGTTTAAGGAATTATTTCAAGTGAACTGTTCATTCAGTGGAAATACTGGAAATGTGAAAGTCAAACCAGTAGGTGTGGGCCGAGTTTCGGAGGAGCGAGGACATTACCATAGTTTCAGTGGACAAAGGCTGTCCCAGCAGACACGGCTCAGGGCTGCATTTGAGTCTGTCAGCAGCAGAGATATTTTGTAGGAGCCCTCAGAGGTTGGTTTGCCCATCGCTGCCATCAGGGTTGACATGAGGGGTTCCCCCTCTTTCCTACAGGTCTCGTGCCCTCCCGGTGAGGCAGGGGAGGGCTGGGTGGGCAGCTCAGGGCCTGGAGCAGTTGGCTGGGGAGGGTCTGGCTGAATGAGCTCCGCAGCTTGGAGGGATGGGGCTGGTCAGTGGCTGCTGCTCAGAGCCCAAAGGTGAGAAGAATGCATCCTCTAGCTTTGCAGCCCTCCGCCTCCACCCTGGTCAGACACGTCCCTGGTCTCCAGCATCCCCCACATGCACGGTTCAACCGTCCCCTGCAAATCTTGAGGGTTGAGGGGACCGGTGCATGGGATCAGCAGTTCCTGCCCGCTTGGCAGGAACCTCTGCCCCCGGGAAGGTGGGTGTCACGGCTGGGAGCACCACATGCCTGTGGCCAGGACACTCCCAGCCCCCGGCCAGTCCCCCAGGTTGCGGCTCCTGCCCAGATAGCGTCACCACCGGGAACAGGCAGCATGTGGCAGGGCTGTGGTTTCTGACTGAGGGTCAGGGCGATGCTGGGACGGAGCCCTGTGGTCTCTCTCGAGCAGATGCTGGTGGCGAAGGCTTGCCTTGCCTTACCCTTGAACCGGCAGCCCCCGTCCTCTGCTAAACTCCGAGAAGGGACCTGCACAGCACCGGCTTGTAGCCAAGTGCCAGCTCCAAGAGAGCCTCTCCCCATTTGGACTGCTAGCAGTCATGCGAGTGCTGAAAGGGCACAGAAAAAGCGCAGGGGAAGGATGTCCTCTCTTCCAGTTTGGCCACTTCTCCTGTTTTTATGCTCTTTCCCGGACAGGGACTATCCCTCCCTGGTCAGGACCCAGGAGCACCCGGAGGGAGCAGTGCCACAGCCCCGGTGAGTCCTGCGGAGCTCACGGTAGCGGCTCCGAGGGCACGGTGCCTCGGGGAGCTGCCCTGCCCAGGGCTGGGGGAGACCCCGGCTCCGCTAACGCTCCTTAGTAGGCACGGAGAGTTACATCTGAGAGAACTCCCTCCACTAGAGCACACTCACTCAGAGAAGGTGATAAGAGAAAAGTCTGAGAAGTTTCAGTTTTTAATTCAGGAGAGGGAGGGCAAGAGATTAAGCTTAAATCTGTTTCCCAGAGGAAACAAGCTGCTTGTTCCAGTCACTTGTGCCCTCCCATCACTGGAGGATCCATAGAAGAGAAGCGAGCACTGTCAACCTCACCCATGAAAGACAGTGCCAACTTTGGGACTAGTAACAACTCATTCTTTTGAAAAAGACTCTTAGAAATGGTATCATCGAGTAACAGTTAAACGTATTTTAATTCCTTCAAACAGAAGGATATCTTGAAGGTACATCAGAGAAATTATTTCATTGATTTCAGTCTCTTTAAAAAAAAAAAAAAGCATGGCTTTAAAATTCAGGAACAGTATCCAATAAACAAAATACTATCATTATGCACCTGTTTTTAGAGTGTGGTACAAAAAGAAGCTTACAGATTCAAAGTAATGGCATAAATGACCGAGAAATTAATTCAGATGTTCACAGGGACAAAAACTATGTTGACAAGTATGAATAAGCACACAGATAAGCTGTTTTAAAAAAACCCAAACCTTTCTAACTGTATTTACACACACATGGATGTACTTGCTTTCCTTTGGCACTAAAAATTACAGAAGATTCCATTTTATAGCAATTAAACTTCAAACTTAGAATAAAAGTAACCTTCGAATCATTTAAGTCATACAGCCCCAGCGTGGTAGTTTCACCTTTACTGAATTGCCACCAACTTCATTCTAACCCTGGAAATTCAGGCCACAAAGCCTGAATTCATTTCCACCAGTGACAAATTTCACCCAGCAGGATGTGAGGAGCTCAACTGGCAGCGGGGAATTAATGAGATACAGATATTTAATAAGAATCAATCTCCAATTGTTATCCAAGGTGGACAGCTACCTTTAAATGCTCTTTTTATGCATATACAAAGTAAATTAAGTAAAAATGGACACCCATTACATATATTCTGCCAATATGGATATCAAGTGAACAGTCAGAGCACGTGATGGCCATCTGTAGTATTTCTTCAGCGTTGCAGAGAAATGTGTTAATCCCTACTCATTTCCATTGCTACAAAAATAATAAATTAAGCTTACACTTAACAAATACGGTTTATTCTTTTAGCACGTTAGTTTACTTTTTAGCTGTTGCCAGGAATAAACCCATAAGTTTCACAGGAAATCCAATATTCTCAGTACAGTAGCGAGTGTTTTAACACCCTGTAAAATCCTAAAGAATGTGCAAGAGAAATCTCAGAAGTAGCATTTGATTATCCAAACTTCTCATTTCTTGCTCATGGCATTTGACTTCACAGAACTTGAAGCTTTGATTACTTGCAAAACAGTTTTTACAGGTTTTCTGCTAGAAACCAACAGGGGTGTAACAAAAATGGCACAATATTTTCCTAAAGCATGAAAGACTAGGAGAAAAAAAATCCTTTCCTTGAAGATCTACAATCAATTAGGACTACATAAAAATAAAGTAACGAGGCATCATGGCAAGTAATAGCACATCGACCCTCTACAACAACAGGAAGCAGTTTTCAATCTTACAACAAAAAGGAATCAAATGAAAAAGAATCTACAATTTATAGATTTCATAGGGTTTGTTCCTTCTTTCTAGATGGTGAGAACCATTGCTAATTAACGTTTTACTTTGCTCGGCAAGCAAGCAGGATCAGGGCAGGAGCTTTTGTTGAGATGGAATAAAGCAAATGGTTGTCTTATTTTTGCATTGACCACACGCAGACCGGGCGTTCTGTCGTCTCTGAAAACTGGATTGAATCAGCTGGACCACTTAGAGAACACTTCCCCCACACATTATTTGGGCATGTCTCAAACAGAGATTAAACTTGTTTTGCTATCAGTATTCTTAAGCATCCAAAAAAAGCCAAATTTCACTATAGCAAACTCTGTGAGAAAAAGGAATCAGAGAATATAACAGCAAGTCTTCCCAGAAGACAGTCTTTTTCTACACATCCAAAGAGAACTAGCTGTTTGAATTTTAGATTAGCTGATACAACATTTTTTTTTTTTCCTTTTAAATATTTCAAAAGCACAGCACGTTAAAACAACTTTCATTACACTTTGTGGAATACCAGTACCAACAACCTCTACGTGAAATTCTTACAAGCTACTCAAATGCAGTCTCTTAAAATGAAAGAGAATACAGTAAATCTAAAGCACATATACATGCTGCTACCAAGGAAAGAAAGCAGTGAAGTAGCAACTTCTTAAACATGAGATTTGCTAAGAATCTCAATCTTTGAAATAGCCCAAAAATTAGCTTGCACTTAAAATTTACTTTCAACTGAAAGGACTTGAAAACCACACAAATCTTAATTATAAGACTCCTTTGTCTTTTTATTCTGAGCTTGCATGATACCTTCATGCAAACTGCTTTACTGGAGATACAGTACTGCAAGTTACTACTTAAAAAAAAATAAATCTTAAGAATCAAGTGATTTTTCTTTTTGCAAAACATAAATATAAACCTCTGTCTTCACACAAGGCATACGCACCTACAGCCCTCTTACAGAGGTAGGTAATTCAAGAAATGGAGTGTGCAGTCAAAACTACAAAATGAAAGAAGTACTGAAACAGTGGGAACTAAGTGAACTGATTATCAGTCCACTCAACCACAAGGCTGCATTGCACTACATCAGTACTGACCAAATGCCCCCAAAAATGCCAAGAAACTACAAGCAAGTTCAAAACAGGATATTAAAACTGTTCCTCTTTCAGTGAAGACCAACCAGTCCCTTTGTGTACACATTTAGTTTTATTGTAACAAAGCAACTTGTACACTTTAACGTTTAAAACTGAGCATCTTTCTTTCCTTTCCAGTGAAACAAAAAAAAAAAAAAAAAGAATTTAAAAATAAACAAGAACAAAATTACAATAGAGAATGTCAATTCCAAATAAGATCCTACAGGTTCTGCTGATTCTCCATCAAGTGGCAGGGCTCAAAGTCATCATTAGGAGAAGATTTTATTTTAAAAGTGTCATCTTAAACTGCAAGGATGTTTGTTAAACATCACAATTAAACATGCCAAAGGAGAAGAAGCCATGTTGTCAAAATGCCCACTTAACCCACCCAAACATCTGAAACCCACCCCGGCTGACCTTCTATAACCCCATATTTTTTTTTTAAAGTTTTTTTCTTTTTTTAAACAAGAGAAAGTAGACAGATACATGTTGGTAAATGCTAACTGTCCATATTCACATAGAGACACAGTGTAATCTCTGAGCCCAATATACAGAGAAAGAAGGAAAAAAGCTAGATTCTATGCACTACTACACAGGGGCCTAGCACTCTTCAGCTTCCAGCAGAGTGAAGGGAGCAGAAGGTTTTCTTTTTTCCCACAGAACATGGTGTGTTGATTCCATAAACAGTTCTTGTTTTGAGACAGGAAGGGATAAAAATGAACTTGAAACAGAAACTGGTAGATTCTTTTCCACTCTATTCTGCTCAAGGTATTTCCCCCAAAATAAATTGTGAACCATGGTGTAGAGGAGAGAAAAAGAGACCTCAAGAGAACAAGGCGACTGAGCACAAGAAAAAAAAGACAGCAACTTGCTCCCAGGGACTGGAGAAAAATTAAAAAGGTAAAAAGGGGGTTTGGAATCCATCAGTGTTCAATTAGTCATCTTCTCCTTCATCCTCCTGTTGAAAGATAAGCAACAATTAAAAAAAAATCTAATCACTGAACTTGAGACAGCACAAACTTTCAAATGCAATAACCAGAATTGCTTTACTACCCTACACATACTTTACTACCCTACACATACTACCCTACAGTGTTGCTCACAGCACGCTGCCCGATGGCCTCCTTTTCACTAAGGAGTAGTAACGCTTGCTGTAAGCACTTATCTACGTAAAAATCAGTTCGTAACATCAGGTTTGGAAAACTGCAGTGACTTCGAATCACTGCAAACACTGACCTAAGTTTTAACATTTAGACAGTGAAGGGGTAATCTTTTTTCCCCTCATTTTGAACTCCGAGGAGCAAAATGCTTCAACTTCCAGATGTTACATTCCAGGATACAGATCGGGTGCCCACAACAGCCCTCCTATCTCAATACAACTAGGTTTTTGCTGCTGAAATTCAGATACACGATGCCCAGTTATAACAAAGACATTCTAACCTTTAAGTTACCAACACCCTGAATTCTGATCCTGGAATCCCACTTGCTACTAAAGGAAATTTCTAATTCCTGAACCCAACAGGAATTCTTATCCAAGCTGGCCATAAGCAGAAATAAACCAACGGGATGCATCAACAAAAGCTATTTACAAGTAAAGCTTCATGAGAATGTTCACTAATTAAGGATTTTGTTACACTCATATCCTAATTCATCTCCAGCACTTCCCTTGCAAATTTACTTTAACTACGTATTTGCACCACCTCTCATATGCACAAACATTGTTATTACTACACTGAAACAACTGCACAGGTTCAGGTCATAACAGTTCTGCTTCTGCCCTCCCAACACCTTGCCAGTGATTGCACAGAAAAAAAACTATTTTGCCTTTGTAACAATGGCTGAGTATTCTTACAAGATGTCTCTTTTGATTCTCATACACCAGAGCAGAGACTGAAGGCATAAGGGCTAAGACTGCTCACCTCTCCTTCCTCTCCCTCATCATCATCTTCATCTTCCTCCCCCTCATCTTCATCTCCTTCTTCATCAATATCCTCCAATCCTTCTTCCTCTTCGTCATCATCATCATCCTCCTCTCCCTCCCCTTCTTCATCATCCATATCAGGAACCTTAAAGACACACGTGCAACATCAACTACGGTGATCAAATTCACTTTCACTTGCACAGCGCTACCGCGGGTACGGATCAACAAGCCAGGGCTCTACTTACCAAGTAGTACTGTAACGGATTTGGCCAGATGTCATCCTTGATGACCTCTCCTAGTTCATCAGCCCCTGCATCAGAGTGGTCAGTGAACCAGGTAAAGAAACTTTCTGGCTCTTCATGCTGCCTCTTCCTACTGGCTTTGTTCTGTGTCTGGCTTGAACGTTTTGTCAGATCCTGAAAAGAAAGTTAAAAAAATTCCCTTACGTGGCCCCCCACCTTTATTTATTTAATTTTTTTAAGTAAGCAGCATTTAGAAACGTACTTGTCTTACCCACCACAAGAAGGTGGAGAAGTCATGAGAAACTTTCAGGGAGAAGTCTTTAAGAAACACAAATGACTCACAGAGAAAGGTACCATTCGGCCACCTGCATTCCTCAAGAAAACAGTAAAACTGCCTGTTTCTTTTAATGACCTCAATTGCAACACTGAAAATTCACAGGATCTTACATTTGATTTATGCTTCCCTATGCTAGGAAAGCACAAGTATGACAAGTATATTGAACTTAAAAGGTTGCACAATGGCTAAACTCTTGACAGTAGCCGTAATTGTAGCTACTACACATACACTATTTAAGCAACATTCAGTCTCCACACTTCTAAGCTCCGTCTTAACTTGAGATAAAGAACTGCCTGGCCTATCCGGAGATTTCCCACTTTGAAGTCTTTGGGTCATTCTTTGTAGTAAGTGAAAAAAAACCCCAACCACCTTCAAATACCATTCAAAAACATGGTCACAAGAACATATGAGTCCTGTATCTATCGGCTTACCCCAGAAGTTCAGTAAGTTTGCAACAATCTGTTTGCCAAGTCTGAGAAGAAAATTACTATCCGCTATTTAAATAATTCTTTCTTTGATCATATGGTAATTCCAAACTTCTAGTATTTGTTTTCTTGACAGAATCACAGCATTTTTAAGTTTAGACTGTTTAAAAATATCAGAACTCACACTGATTTGGTGATATTTTGTAAAGACCATTTGACTAGTTTGTACTAGAACAAGAAGTTCTAGTTCTCAGTGAAAAAATATTTAAGTCTCTTCTCCATCTGAGGGTGACAAAACCAGCAGCAACTTAATTGTGACCCTCAGTTAGACTTCTAAACACTGATTTTAAATCCTTCAGGGTAACACGAAAGTTCCCAACTTTTAGAGAAACTAACTACAGCACATTCATTATGTTTGAACACTCTCTCGATGAAAGACACACCCACAGTATTGTGTGGCTGCCACTTCTATGAAGATGTAGTGCCAGGAAATGAAGTTGAGGAAATGAAGAGAAAAAAAAAAATAAAAAAAAAATTACAGAATCATCCCCCTATCTGACACCTTGCTATCCTCAGAATTCCCTATTTAATAGCTACCTTAAGAAAACAACAAAACACAGAGGTTAAATCCACGCCAAAGAGAAACAAGCTAATACAACACTTGCTAATCTCTCCACCTGATCATACTTGTACTTTCAGTGTTTTAATAGTGGTGGCTCAGCTGAGCAAAAGACTTCACTACTGATCTGCCTGTACACGGGATATTTCCAAACCCTGACAGACAGGCATGAGCTGTGTACAGAGAGAAGTGGAAAGCAGGTGGAGATGAGAAGGGAGGACAAGACAGCTTCAATACAACAGTAAAAGAAAAAAGTAAAAGGAACACAATTAAAGTGATGGTATCACACAGAGCAGCAATCATCTCCCGCAGGTGCGCCGATACTTACCTTCCCAGATTTCCATTTAATCTCAGTTGATTTTGAAGATGGGTCTCCACTTTCATTGAGGTGAAACTCTTTGGAGAGAACTTTATTTTCGAAGTATGGATTCTCATCAAAATACTGCAGAGTTGAAAGTGAAAAGTTAGAACCATGTAATGTAAAGACACATGCCAAGTCCAACCTGGTACTACATGGATAACTGAAGAGATTAAGTTACAAACTACAACCCAATGTGTGATTAAAAAACAACACACAAAAAAAAAAATCAGAAAAATCCCAAGTTAAGGAATTATTTGAATTACTTACAAAATCTATTCTGTAACCTGATTTGATGTCTTCAAATTCTGTCACCTCGACCCTGGTCAAATAATGCAGTGCTTCCTCATCTTCTTCTCCCAGCAGTGCAGATACTAGGACAGAATTAGGAATCCCACATGAACAAAGCTAGGAAACGGGTATCGTGTGGATGAAATACAGGAAACTGATAGCAAATAAGATTTGAAAAGCAACACATCTGTCCAAGCCAACTTCCTTCAGCCCATTTTTTTGAGTTTCCAGCCAACTACCTATTAGCATTTGTGTGCTTTGCATGTGCCGAGGTGGAAATACTGCGTTCCCTTGTTGCAGTTCAACATTAGAAAGCAGCAAAAGCTACCTGCATCCTCCCTTCTCTCAAACACATTTTCATACATGTCGTTTGCCCAATCTCTACAAACTTGTTTTGTCCTCTCAAAAATGTTTTAATAGTCAAGAGACCTAAGGAGCTCACTTTCAATTAAAAAAGCCCAAACACCCCAACAAATTAGAATACTTTGTTTCTTCCCTTTGAAGGGCCCAATTAACTAAGGAAAGTGGGAAACTTGTCATTTCAAATACAGAAAGAAAACCAACATAAGATTTCAATGAACAAGATGATATTTTGGTCAACAAACGTAAGAAATAAAAGCTTATAAAATGCACTTTAGTATAAAAAGGAAGTGTTGGCATATGAAGCAGGGTTCGCTGTAAACATACACCAGGCACCAATTCTAGAAAGCCCTCAGAGCTGCAAATTACTCACAGCAAGCAAACAAACATTGAATTTACAGGAAGAAAAAAAAAAAAAAAGGAAGCTATTAAGAACATACCTTGTGGGTGGTTGACAAATGTTGTTACCCAGAAATTCGGGATTTTGGCGATCAATTCTGACCTCTTCTGGAAGAATGGTTGGCGGAGTTTGTTGTATTTCTGTTCTACTTTCAAAATTTCCTCACTGGCTTGTTCATTCAGTCTGTAATAGAAAGAGCCACGTTAACCACAGGAGAGAGAACTGAATTTTGAAGACGCATCATCAGGAGTTAGCTAAAACCCGAATGGATCTGATTGGACTAGTCTGTCATATTCAGCAAATGAGCTATTGCAAACAAAAAACAGAGGATCGGCTATTACGAAAAACACTACCAGAAGCAATCCCAGTGATCTTAGTGAAACCTTCTGAACACACTGGAAGCTTTGCAGCACAGCATAAGGGACGGATCCTTATTTATGCAAAGACAAGTGGTGTTTTATCTCTTCACCATTTTGTTTGCAAAAAAGCCCTCAAGATGGGGAACGCAAAACACCGTCACCTGCTCTTCCTAACTTTAGGGCAGGCAGGCAAGCTCCAGCAAAGCACTTTTGTAGCCCACAGAAGTCAAATCTCAAGACGTAACATTTAACTGGTTTTACAGAAAAGCAGAGCCCTGATACTGCAACAGCTCCACATGGCCAGAACCTCAACAGTTACCTGCAGTCTCTGTAGGACAGTGTGCATGGAGGCAAGATCCAGGCAACTATAAACATAGAACCCACAGAGTTTTGGCATATGAAACCAATGTTTCAGTGACACTTTCTGCATGTTATTCTACAAGCGCATGAATATATAATTTAAAAAGTATAAAAGCCAACTTTTCAACTAAGTTCTTGGTTCCGCTTACAAACATGAAAATACTTTTGCAAAATAGCATACACATTAACTTGAAAAATCAGTAAGAAATAAATCTATTACCAGAACTGTTGCAATTAATTTAAAGTTTTAAACTCAAGTTCTAAGTTTTTAATTATAACAATTAAACAACAAACCACAACACGACTTCCAATTTTTTATCACACACAAATATGTCTTACATTTAATCAAGTCAGAACACAAGTATGTCTTGGCAGAGTTTTAAAGAGAGGGAGAACTACTATTGAGTGCTTACTTTACTATATACTATTGTTGAAAGTTACATTTTAAAACACTTACCTGTCTATTTCATTCTGTACTTCATCAATGTGTTCAATTGCTTCCTGTTGCTCTTTTTCTGAAAAAACAAATGAAAATGCATCAAAATCCCTCCATTCTCAAGTCTGACAAATCACCTTGAGTTTTCACTTAACATTTTTTTTCTAGCCATCTACTTTAGAATTACACAGACATATCTTTTAAACGTCCCAAGTATTACTAAGCCTTAAAGTTCCAGCTACGTCCACGGCGTACTGCGGCTGAAGTGCAGAAAACTTTGAAGAGATGGCACTCAAAGCTAGTTTACCCCCAGAAATCAGAGCTCACACATCCCTACGCAGTTTTACAAGCCAACGTAAAAGCTAAGTAAATGACGACAGATTAACAACAAATTAATTAAAAAGTTATAAGCCATATTTGCCAAGTCGAACACATCTGAAGGAACGTTAAGTAATTCAGAGAGGACAGAAATATCAATAGAAATAAGGTAACTGGGAACACGCCACCTTCTAAAAACCAAAAAAGGAAGGTCGGAAAGGACGGCTACAAGCAAAAAAACACCGGCACGTCGCCGTTCGGCAGGTATTTTCTAATCGGAACTGCCCCTCGACAACGTCTGGCGCAGGTCTCGGTTACGGGGGGGCTGTTTACGCGCCGCGCCGGGAGATGAATGAACGGCAGCGGGAAGTGGCTGGAGCGGTGCAGCACGCTCACTCCTCCCCCGTAAGTTTCCCGCACGGCTCAGCCCGCGTTAGGGGACAGCTCTCCCCGGTAGCGCGGCTGGACGCGCTGCCCCGCTCCTCACGCCGGACGGGC